TGTGACTGAGCAAGCTTCATCAGTAAATGTTGTATGTTTGAGTGACACAGACGTAGATTCAGATGTAGAGGATAATCAAGATAGAGACCAAGATCAAATGGAAGTTGACAATATAGCTGTAATAGAGACTATTAGTGACACAGCCCATAAAAAACAATCAAGTCCTTTGACTACCTTAAAGAAGAAAAAAGATATTTGCCACACAAGTGAAATAATTGACTTGAGTTTTGATGACAATGTTGAGGACAACATGACAGTTTCAAATGTTGGGAATTTAGGTGCACATGTGAATGATATTAGTGAACAAAGAAAATTGCTTAAAGACTACAGGTCTCAAAAAAGATCTTCATGTCCTTCCTCTGAAAGCCCTATTCCAATTGATGATGATGATATCATTGTTGAAACATGTGAGACAAGAGTAACAGATATTTCATCATCAGATTCTGATTCTGATAGCTTACCATCAATACTTCCATCACTGAATGGAGGTAGCTTATCAAACACTGACTCCCAAGACATGCTATTAAACAGTGAAGACAGTCAAACAGTTGTACCAAAGAAAAAGACAAAATATACATCTGAGGAAGTTCAAAAGAGAAAAGAAGAAGCTAGGGTATGTATAAAAAACTTATATGAAAAGCTCTACATGTATATCGACATGTTAAGTGTGCTGATACCTGTAATTTTTTGGTGATGATATTTAAATATTAGGCTGCGTTCATAATGTATACCACAGGGGGGGCAGGTGCAATCTTTACTGTATTCAATAGGGGGGGTGCTAAAAATATTAATTAAAATCTTAATAACAAATGGAAAACAACTGAATTTAGGTATGAATTGTAGAGGTTTCAATTAATGGATTAAATTCCATATTAGTTTATGGTAAAAACCAACTACTTATACAGAAAAAAGTTAAGTAGCTTATCATCAACTTCATCATCATCATCAGTGTCATCATCGTCATTTGAATCTGCACTTTCCTAGGAAGACTTTGCTTCAAATTTCTGTACTCGCCTGCTTTACGTGATGTAGAGCTTCATTACAAAATATCTCTAAGTCCCTGAGATGCTTCATTCTGCCTTTAAATGGAACTTAGGTTTCAGAGTATGCAATGCTTCTATTTGAAAGGGCCAAAAATATCTGCGCAAATCAAAGAAAAAGAAATAATGTCAAAGTAAAGAACAAAACATACGAAGATTATGACTGGATAGAGTTGTCCTCATCTCACGACACTTTAAAGAAACCACCTGTTAAAGAACTTGAAAAATATTTAACTTTCAATCAATTATCATTAAAAGTCTGAAGAAAGACAAAATTACTACTTGGATAATGGCGCATATCAGCTTTTCAACTAACGGCTCTAACATGTATTCACAGTATAATAGTATTTCCCAAAATGACCAACAGCACGAGGAAACAGAGATAGGAGATAGTGAAGATGATGAGGAAGATAGTGAAGATGATGATAGTGAGGAAGAGTGAAGGAATAGTGATAGTGAAGAATTAAGTGAAGATGAGTCTGATGAGATGAATGTGCCTTGGGTATATCAAGAATCAAGAATCCGCAGTTACCTCTCAATCTGAAAGACAGTGTAGGCATTAGGAACGCAGCCTTACAGTCATGTAATTTAACAATGTGTATATATTAATCCATATAACGAATAACCCTCTCCTTTGGCTTCTTGATAAATACTGGGATTAAAATGACAATTGGGCAGATATAGATAGAAACAAAGATATAAAAGAGAATAATCATGATATTTTAGATGTACTTCGATCCTTTTGATTTGGAAGTTAGTGTAATGAACACCGACACCATAGGCTTACAAAAGTATTAACATTTTCAAATTTCAAATTTTCCAAGGGGAGAATTTGCAAATTAACTATAGTGTTCTCAAACTAATTATAATCTCAAACTAGACACTGAGATATTAAAATCATCTAGTTGGTCATGATTGTCCTTACTGTAGTACATTAAGTCTTGAAACAGAAAATGAAACGTTAGTCAAAAAAGTGTGTTCTGCAATAAAATGCTCAATGAATGAGTTTGTTTGAGCTGTCCAGGGAATACTCTAGCAATGCCTTAAGAAATGAGTTACATTGTAGTTGGAGTGGTACACTCGTAAAATCTCAATAATAAACTCAAACTAAACCATGTAACAAACTTCATACTCAATCTTTTTTCAGTTAAAGAAGGAAATGAAAGAAAAAGATAGACAGGCAAGAAAAGAAGAATTACTTGTAAAACGAAAAGAAAAAGAAATGGAAAAATTGCTCAAAAAGGTTAGAAATTAGATTGTTTTATTTACTTGATCAATGGTGTTAATTTGTACTTGGATTATCATGTTTTTAATGATAATATGTGATTAAGAAATATAAAATGTCTGCACTTGTCTCTGTTATCTGATATGCCGGTGCATGGGAGATGGAGAACATGAGAAAAACAAGACTAGGACTATGTCCAGGAAGTGCTTCTCTTACTTATGGATTTCTCATTATCGTGCATCTCAGTGGCTGTATATWYATTTWACAACATGAGCSGCTGCACAGACATGAATTTTGTAAACGACTTTATGAARCTCCAGCACAAATTAACATRAATTACAGTGAGATACTAAAAATTCAATGTATGCATGAGCATAGAATATTATAGTAGATTCTAATATACAAATTTTTGAATCTAAATAAATTTACTATGAAGGTACACACTGAATACACTTAAAATAACATGAACTGGACAATTAAGTATGTAAATCTGTTTAAATATATCTTTTCAAACTTTTAACACTAGGCTGAATCATTGAACCAAAAATCTCAAAGAAAAGAAGAATGTCTTCAGGTACGCAATTGCTGATGTTATGTGAATGTTAATAAGTATAGTTTAAGTTAAAAAATTTTTATGATGTGAGTTTAAATCAATCAAATTCTGACATTTTCTAGTTTGTGTTTTGCTGATATTCTTAATATTCTAGTCTTCATGTGTATGTAATGTCCAAGAAGTAAGAAACTGTATTTCTATTTTTTGTAGGGTCTTTAATATTAGCTTGTTTTAACAAATTAAAATTTGTGGACTAAATAATTTTGTAAATTTCAGCAACGCTAAGCCAGTACCAGACCCCTTTTAGTCTTCTCTTAGTTGAACTGTTGATCACAGGAATTAAGGGGCCAGAAGAGCCTCATCCAGGCAATACTATCTTGCTTCCATAATTAAGTGTAGATATTTTGATATACATGTATGCCAAAGCTAATGCAGGAACCCTATTGTGACAGACAAGAAA